AGTTCTAAATGTTCGTCTTCAATTGTAGCACTATTTAGTTGACCTCTTTCATGAGACTAAAAGCACAAGAATAATAATAAATACATTCAGTAAATTCACTGTATATACAAACTCACAGCATTAGGCTCATTCCCATCCAGTGTACTATAAGAACTATTAATTGTATGCTGTAACAAAAAACATTAAAAATATTGTTTGTTCAAAACATTGGCAATCCATGTGGCCACTCACTGTCGGAGACACAGCTATAGGAACTAGTCCAGCTGCATGAATTCCTTCATTAGATTGTTTGTATGGGTCAACAATAACATCTGGATCATCATTTGGTATTGGAGGTAAAGGAGTTCGTGGAATTGGCAACTCACCTGTACATTAAAAGTTAACATTGCATATGTTAATAATATAAAAATATGATTTTCATACCATCTGGATTGTCATATAAAGAATTAAAATTAGCAAGATTTTCAGAGGCTCTTAATTTTTTCTCATTTGAAGAAGTCCCACTATTTGTTTTTTCCTTCTTCTTTCTTGTTATGCAATAGACAGCTATAGCAATTAAGCATACAGCAGTAAGCACTCCATTGAATCCAGCTAATATAAATAGGACAGTTAGTGGTATACTAGTGATTAGAACTTTGTTATTTGGTTGTGCACTAATTGTGGGCATATTACTTATTTCCACAGTGACTAATGGGAAATCGTTACCATCATTTTCAAGTTCTCTTGTACTAATTGTTTGTGGAGGAGAGTTGAGGGTTCCAATGCTGCGTAAGTTTCTTGGGCCATTGTACTTTTGGTCATAGAGAAACCTATCAACTTGATAAATGCCAAATATGTCTCCTTCCTGGAACTGCAGTGGAGTCTGAGGAATAAACTCATAGAGATTAGTACCAATCATTGTATTAGCAATAAATATACTAGATCCTATTTTAGTGTAACTGTCGTCTATTTTACGCCATATTTGTAATTCAATATGTTCCTGAGGTTCCTGATTGATATATTTACCTCCAAAAATCCATTTAAAAACTGATCCATTGCATTTGAAATTAACCTCTGGATAAAGGAATTGCCTTTTGTCAGGAATCCTTTGTGATCTTTGTGCTTCAAGTGCTTTCTCTTTAATAAATGAAGCATTTATTGAATTGGTACTATTGACACAGTATCCATCTAATGATAGTAAAATAATTCAATGATACAGTGAGTGT